GGGGGGGAAATGCTATCCGCCATCAGATTATATCAAGATTTCGAGATTAAAAACCGACTTGCAGATTAGGCCCGGCCTATTAGGAGGCGGCGAATTGCATTCCCCTTCCCCGCTCGGGAGCTGCCCGTGTCCCGCTGCCCCGGCTCCGCGGGTCCCCGCAGGGGAGCAGGGAATTCGGGTTAAAAAAAAAAGAAAAAAAAGAAAAAAAAAGGATTTTGCCATCGTTTTCCCTCCGGGATGAGGGTCCGCAGGAGCCGGCCTGGAGATGCCGGGCCGGTTGCTGGAGGCGTTAGAGAGTTGCTGAGCCCCCTTGCCCCACACCTCCTCTTACCTTGCTGAAGCACTTGGCTACCCTCGCCCTCTATTGTAAAGCGCTTTCGGCTGTGTTTGGGATTTGGTTTTGTTTAGTTTCGTGGCTTTTTTTTTTTTTTTCCCTTTTTTCTTTTTTTTTTTTTTTTTTTTTTTTTTTTTCTTTTTTTCCTCCCCCTTTTAAATCCACTCATTGTCATTTCTGAGCTCCGCGCCGGCGGAGCGGAGGGCTTGGAAGTTTAATGGTGGCTTTCGGGGCTGGTTGGTTGGTTCCTTTAACCCCGTAGGCCCCACGTTTATGAGTTGTGCGTGAAATATGGGAGGAAATTGTGTCTGGAGAAGTGGGTTTCCCGTTCGGTGTGTGTCTATGCAGACGTGTTCGGTGTATTAAAGGGATGGCTCCACGTTCAGTTCAGCTGGAGGAGACATCGCCACGTCTCCATTGAAGTACAGTGGAGCTTTGCTCTGCTGCTAATCAGGTAGCTCTCCAAAGAGCAGTAAATATTTACCAGTTAAAGTCTTCACGCTGCGAGAAAGTACTTGTTTGATGTTTATTTTTATGGATTTAAGATTACTAAAAGCTACTTAATAAATTATACCGTGGCTAGTCCTGAATGGGGAAACGTGCCTCTTTGAATTCTCCATCATATGCAGGAAGAGTAAAATTAATATTCATTATAGGCGCAAAAGAAAGAGAATGAGTATTTTTAGGCGAAAAAAAAAGGGAGAGAAAATGAAGGCTGCGACTATTTCATTATTTTACCTCCTTTTTTTTAGCAACCCCCTTGAATGGGCTCTTTATTGTAATTGTCCCTCCCCAATTGAGCACCCCACTGAGCTGTTGTATCTTTTTACAACCCCTAACAACTCGCACCAGTAACACAATTACCGCCAGATATTTATAACGAGAAATTACTTTTCCATTTTCACCCGCGACGATTTCAAATAAATACATGGGAGACGCATAAATAAATAAATAAGTGGCCCGGGGTGGTAGTGGAGGGGGGGGAAGAGAGAGAGAGGGAAGGAGGGAGGGAGGAAAGGTGGTGAGAGGAGGAGAGAGGGAGTAAGGAAAGGGGGCGGGGGGGGGGAGAGGGGAGAGAGAAAAAGGCGCTGGGGACTGTCCAGGCGCTGGGTCAAGGCAGGCACTAATGAAGGGAGAAGGGGCTTGTTTCTCTGCTCTTTGTAAGTTGGAGGGTTGTTGGTCCGTTGAGTTGGG